TCTTTCCCCTCCTCGTATCCCACAGCCCCACCGCATCCTGCAGGCTCTGAAGCGCTACGTTCGTGCTGAGAACAAGGACCGGCTGCACACCATCCGCCACTACCAGCACGTCCTGGCAGTTGACCCAGAAAAGGCTGCGCAGATGAAACCTCAGGTATCAAAATGTTTCTGTCAGGGGCGGCGTCATTGCTCAGCCCTGGTTTATATGTGAATCCTTGTTGGTCACAACGACAAGGCGGGGAGTTGAAGACTAGTTCGCTCTCATTTCTGTGTTTAAAGCACCCGTGGATATTTTTCTGGAGACTTGATCATCCTTGGAGAGAATTCCTCCAAGACCTCGTGTCGGTGTTCCTTGCGTTAGCCTCGTTCTTCACAAGCCTGTGTTTTGGTTTGGGGGAATTCTCTTATTGCCTTGTTTCCAAAGCGTGATACGTAACCCTTGCCACACGCTTGATCATCATAGTTAGCTTTATGATGAAGTCATATATATTTTACTCCTGAGAAGCCAGAAAGTCATTTTTTTTCTGCTGGGTAGCGTATGTGATTGCACCGCTTCAAGCGGCTGTCAGACCTGGCCGTTGTACTTGTAAGAGAAGTTGCGGATATTCCCCAAATCTTTAGAATTACGTCTTGATACTTGTTTTTACGACTCTTTGAACATGGTGAATGATGTACTGAAAGGCCTCACTAGGATTTAAATTAAGAATGGCCTGGTAACATTGGAAGATCTGTTCGTGAGAGTATGTCCTTTCTCAAGTTGAGAGAGAACCGATTGTCCAGTCGTGCCATTCAGAGTGTCACCTGTGTTTTACGGGTCCCTGTTGGTGGCTGGCCTGCTGCTCTGAGCCCTCTTTGAATTCTGTAATGCACAGAGGATCCGCTAGACCAGAAAAAGAAAGGAGAGCTGCAAGGAGACGACATGACAGAGCACATCCAGAGCTGCCAGATGGAAAAAAATAGGCACAGAGGGAAAAAGGAATGCTTTGTTACTTGCCTGTGTAACCAGCAGATGGGAAGTATCGTGGTTCAAGAGTGAGAAGGGGACTGGAGCGTGTCGCTGCTACCTCTAGTGAGGTGTTAGAGTAGCGTTGGTGGTTTTCTAGACGCAATCCTCACGCTTTGGAGGTGCCTGGTTCCGTGGGTTTCGTGTTGTTTCTGGGTGCCAGCAGTGTGCCTTCACCTCTTGTCTCTGGGCTTGTCCTCCACCGCTTCCGCAATTCCTGCGAAGCTGCGCATCCTCAGGAGGAGCTGGGCTGGTGTTTACAAGCTTGTGGTGCAGACGATGTGATAATGCTTTCAGAGGCAGCTCAGCGAGCACGGCCCACCCTGACCCTTTGTTCTGCTGCTGCCAAAGCCCAAGAGGGCAGCGTGCGAACTGGATTCTTAAGCTAAAACCTAAACAGTCCTTAATTCGTTCGGAAGGCTGCAGTGTCAACAAATCGACAGGCGAGGGACGTGGGTGGTGCAATTCAATTTCCATCCGTTTTACTTTTCAGATGCACTTTAAGCTCCTCGATCGATTCCCTTGATTGACAAGCTGCCACATGTAAAATTAAATTGCTTTCATCCTTGCTCTTAAAGGTCAGGTGCGCGTCAGGCTGTAAAACAGGTCCATTGAACTCCTTGGCTTGAATTTTTATTTATTTTTACAACGTTTGGCCGTCCATATAAATGCTTTTTGAGGTCTGCGTGATCCCTGATTACGCAGCACCCTCTTCAGGTCAGGCTTGACTTCACTGGTGAATTTAATATGCTCAGGGGGAGTGATTTGAGGTTGCGAAGAGTTTGAATTCATTTCTCAGATGAAGGGAGAATGCTCCTGGCAGCGAGTGGGTGTAGTGGATGTAAGACAAATGTAACGCCACCGTTGCTTCTGAAAGGCACCTTTGTTCTGAAACCAGAGGTGATAAATAATATTGTCTGCTCCCTTTGCGTGTATCTCCTCCAGCAGGCAGGAATGATAATCCGTTTAATAAAGCGCTTGCTTGTAGCTGCTGCGGGAAATGAATTATGAGCATATCTGGCATATGGGAAACACCAGCTTCAGCGTTGCCAGCGGAGCCCTGGTTACAGCCAGAGTCTGCTGAGTCCTCTCTCTCACCCCCAGCCTTTCCCAAAACACAACACACGTGTGCAAATGACCAGTTCCAGCGACTCGTGAGAGAGCAGCAGTCAGGGAACTGGACAAGGGCTGCGTCCTTTCTATTTTCTGTCACGACAGATCCACCAGGATTAGGGATTTTATTAAACGAGTGCAGGAGCGGTGCCAGTCAAGTGAGTGACAGCCTTTGCCTACTCCAACACGCTCTCGCACGTTTGCAGGTGATGACACATCTCCATGTGATCGAGGAGCGGATGAATCAAAGCTTGTCTCTGCTCTACAAGGTGCCGTACGTGGCTGAAGAAATCCAGGATGAGATCGGTGAGTGTCTGTGCTCCCGTGCCACCGGGTTAAGACTACAAGGTTTTGCCACCAGGTCGGGACAGGTGAAGTGGGCTTCAAAAAGGTGGCTGGCTCCTTTGAGTGGATGCCCTCAACAAAATTCAGAGTGGCACAGCTGGCTCTCGAACGGAGATGGAGAAGATCCATAAAAATAAGCAGATACTTGCCTCCTTGGTAGAAGTTCAATCCCATCTTGCCACGTCAGACCCCGCATTTGTATTAACTTCTAGCCAGCGCCTTTACTGAAAATTCCAGATGAGACTTGAGAGCAGGTGAGATGAGATAACCTGGCAGCCCTGAACAGCGTTCCCCTGCAGCCCTGCCTCCGCTCGGTTCGAACCATCTGCCCCTTTCTGTTCCTGCCAGGCTTCGTGCGGTTTGTGTGATATTTCCTCCTCTTCCTTTCAGATGAGCTGCTTCAGGAGCAACGTGCCGACATGGATCAGTTCACGTCCTCCATTTCGGAATCCCAGGTGGATGTCAGAGTGAGCTCCGAGGAGAGCGAAGAAATTCCCCTGGAGGGCAAACCTTTCCGTCCGTTCCAGGTGAAAACCTTCCCAGCCACGCCCGAAAGCGAAGGTACGTGGAACTGAGACCTGGCTTTGCTGGGATCCAAAAGGCAGGTGCTTTTTCTTAGCGCAGCTCACCGGCCCAGAAAGCTCCATCGCTTGGGGTGATTTAAGAGCAGAGCAGTCTGCCCTGGCGGTACCCTTCACACTCTTGGAGGGAGAAAAGCGGTGCAGCTAGGAATTTTGAGCTGCTCTCTTGATTTTTTCCGATTCTTCTCTTTACAAAACCATTTTCTCTCCTTCCGTTTTGCAGGGAGCCTTAAATTTTTACTGTGTGGCTTGACTCTGGAACTAATTTTCAGTCTCGAGCTGAAACGCTCTCGTGTCACGCTAAGTCTGTGTGCTATGACCTGCTGAAGGGCTGCAGGAATTCTCTTTATTTTCTTTTAAAAATATATATCTATCTATTTTTTGTTTGTATTGTGTGTTGACAGCTGGTGCGTGTGCATGTGTTTTAAAAATGCTTGAACAGAGTCCTGAGCTTAAAGAAAGCTAAAAGCTTTTCCCAGGGTGTGAGTCAGAAATCATGCGCAAGCCTTTTTTTCCTTTCTCTCTTAATCTCCTTTCTCTGCTATTTTTGTTTTTGTTTTCCCTCCTGCTAGATCCTCAGCCGGATTTGTACCATCCAATGAAAAAAGGTTGGTTCTAAGCTGCTCCCTCACAGTGCTTTCGATCACTGTCCTACCTTCTCCGTGTGTCCGATAGCTTCATTTTAGTCCCATGCTCACCTTTGTTTTCATTTCCCTGCTCTCATTTAGCTCGGTAACTTCCGATTTCACTTCTTTAGGCCTAGCTTTAACGACACGAGCTAGTCTGACCATCTAACTGATTGTGTGTGTTCCTCCCTGATGATGGGCTCACTGTCTGAGAGCGTGTGGCAGAGCTTCTTCGCACCTCTCCGTGCTCAAAACTTCTCAAAATAAACCTCGCGGCGCCGACAGTGAATAGTCCAGAGGCTCCCCTGCCCGCTCTGGAATGTGTCCTAGGAAAACTAGGAACAAGCTCGTTGTTAGTTCTGCAGGGACTTGGTGCCTGGCTAAAAAGGGCTTGAAGAGCAGCGTAGAAACGTTGGCCGTGCAGTCTGTTAGCGATGCAGTCTCAGGTAAAGATCGGGCCTGGCTGATCTGCTGCTGTGGATCTAGTTCCCAAGTATTGTGCAGAATCTCAAAGGGGAGCAAGAGGATTTTGCTTAATAACCATTTAATTCGAATACCAATCGCTTTGCAACGTGGGGAAGGCCAGATAGTTTGAAACTCCTCTCGTTACGAGCGTTTCTCTAGAAATGGAAGTCACCTTCCATCCCTCTTGCGGAGCAGCGTTGGCGTCCCTGCCCAAAACAGAGAGGTTGGACTGGATGATCTCTAAGGTCCCTTCCAGCCTAGGCCATTCTGTGATTCTGTGATTCTAATTCAGCTCTGGAATTGGGACAGCCTTTAGTTTGAGGTTGCTTTTTTCCTGGATTTTGTTGACCTCAAGATGATATATAAGGTGGTTCTCTCTATTTGGGTAAAGGAAAGCGTTTCTGATGACTCCAGGACAGGATTATATCCCGCGCTTGCCCCTTCTCTCCCTTTCCTTCATGAGGGCTGCTAGAGAGTTGGATCTTCTGGGAGTAGGGATGGATTTTTCTCCCTTGGGAAATATATAAATTGTGCCTTTGGGTGACGTAGAGCCATTATTTCATACGGCAGATAGCAAAGCTCAGTGCAGCAGCTGAACTCCCAGCCCCGGAGCCTCTGCTACGCCGGCTCCTGAGAATTGAATAAAGCAGCCACAGGCCAAAAGCTGACGCAGGAGTTCTCCGAAAAACTCTTTGTGGCTGATCTCTCCAGAAAATCCCAATCATTGGCTTTCACAACAACACGACCTGCT